TGGACCCCAGGCTGATGATCCACTCCAGTTCCCGTAAGATAAGGAGACTGGGTGGATCTTAAGGAAAAGAACAAAAATTAAGTCTTTTTGGAGTGCGTATGTTTGTGTGAGAATGTCTGTGCGTGTGTGAGATTGTGTCTGTGGTTGTGTGTGTCACTCAGTGTTTTTGAGGGCCCCTTCACACTAGTACAGTGCATTAATTGCGTGTGTAATTACCTTACCACGTAATCGCACCTACCACGCATTCTGGTGCAGGAGGTGCGTTGCATTGCCATTCATTGGAATGGCACCCCAAGCGCACCTCCCACCCACGGTTGATCGCCCGCACCGGAACGCATGGTACCACAATGCCATGCGTTCCAGTGCGGTGCGACTTGGGTCACGACCTAATGACCAAGGACAAATGTGGGTACTGAGGTTATACAGGTTGAGAACCACTGTTCTAAAGAATACCAACTTTGTGCTTTCTAAAAGACACTAACTAAAACCAATTTCTTTCAGTTGTTAACTGTTTCAATGACAACTGAGGGAAGATCCTCTAACTTTGGTGAGATTTCTTCACTTTTGCATTTAGGATTGCAGCAGGAATCCCAAATCTCAAGTTTAGATGGGGTCGCTGTCACCCCTTCAAGTTAATGACTGGATGACAGCAGCTGCATCTGATACAATTACCTGCTGTTTAGAATAGATCACTGTCTCTGGATGCATCTTTTGTGTGGCAAGGGACAGTGATCTATTTTAAACCACATATAATCATATTACATACAATTACATGCGGACTGCCGTTTACAGATGAGGCCGCTGTCCCCCGGTCATTAACTTGAACAGGTGACAGCGGCAGCATGTAAACTGGAGATTTGGGATTCCTACTGCAGGAACCTGCACTGGTTGCTGTAGCAGGAATCCAAAAATGCCAAGTGTGAATGAGGCCTGAGAATGGGGAACAAACCCCAATTGGACACAGATGTCAAGATCAAAAACATCAGTGGGGTTTTAACCATTGTAGTAACCAAAAATTGCCTAAAGGGTTTCTAAACCCTCACGTTTTTTTGCATAAATCGCTGGCTAGCAAGCAGTAGATATATACAAACAGTGTTTTAAAAAACGCTTTAAAAGCGGTTTAAACTTACCCCTGTCTTCGCCGTGCACTCCCGTCCTAAAATCTGAAAATGCTCGGGCGGCTGCAAAGCATCTTGGGGCGGGCGCATGCGCTGTTCAGATTTTTGGCCGGGAGACGAGGAGAGACACAAGGTAAGTCTATGGACGCGTGCACCCGCATGCAGACACCGTGGGACAGGAAGTGCCAGCAAGGACAGAGGAGTCAGCACTGGATCGGAGAGCCGCCGCACCGCTGGAGAGAAGGCTGAAGAGGACAGGAAAGAAGAAGAAGATCGGATTAAGAAACATTAAGGTAAGTGCTTTAATTAACATTGGGGGGAGGGAAAAACGTTTTTGACTTTAATGTCACTTTAATGTACACTTTAACTACTACTCAGTTGTCACAACCATTCACAGAGTAACCTTTTATATAAAGACCAGAGTAGGGCGACTTGTTAGGACTGTTCTGACTGATAAGCATGATGCCAATTCCTGGTTAAAGATTAATTGTCCATGTAATGACATGCTAAGAGTTGTGACAATTCTCCCTCATCACTCACTTCCGCCATTGTGTTAGACAGTCGTTGTACATGCCTGAAGACACGTCCGCTTACCAAGTGTAAGTGGATGGAGTGCTACTCAACTTCCAGGTTAGCACGCATGCATGCCTTAGTAAACACTACAACACAGATTAAAGCAAATAACCCTAAACTACACAATACATAACAGGTGCCATTACTCTTATGTAACCCTGCTTATAACTGTCATTGAGGGGCATCTGGAAGATGTAGCAAATCAGTAAATGAATTTGATTTTATGTGATTTCATGTTATCAGCTACTGGTTAGATCTGAAATGTTCTACAACATAGACCTAAAAACATACAAAGAACAGTTGAACGCATTTAACCCTTGGCATTATGATAGCTTGTCATAAAGACCTAGTCCACGGGCAATGGCTATTTATACAAGTCTGACTCCTCCATGAGCTTCTTGTGTTTTCATAGTCCAGCAGAGCTCCTGGCTCTTCTCAACCTCCATGGTGTCTCACTTCTTCTTGCTGAGTTCTCCAAAAGATAAATGAAAATAGAAAATCAGAAAAAAGGACAGTCCTTTGTAATGTCTGCGATGAAGGGGAGAAGGGAATGCAGCTGCCAGGATACCTGATCGGCACAAGAAACTGTTGAGTACCAGCAGGTGCCTATTATGAGGATCCCTGAGACGCTTGCCTCAGTTGGCATCTCATTGGGTCATGTGACACACCTGCCGCCGCCTTTCTGGCCAGATGCTAAGAGCTCTTATCCCAAGGGTGGGCAACTTCAGTCCTCCAGGTGTGCTTTAACTACAAATGCCAACATGCCTCTGGGGATCATGCCTGTAACTGCCAGTCTTGCAATGTTACATGGTAGGTGTAGTTCCACAACAGCTGGAGGGTCAGAGTTGCTCACTCCTATCTTCACCTGTGATGCTCTGGCCGGCGTTACACCCAGCTCACTTATGTCACTGGTTGCCAGGTAATGTCACAGATCCCCCCCGCACCATGGTAACGTGTGCTGCCAACACCACTGAGCCTCTCCCCCCGCTACCGTGCACAACCAGCACAACCCATTACCCCATTGCAGGGACTCCCCTGAGTGCCAGCACAGGTTTTTGGGGTGTCAGTATGCATAATGAATGGTTAGTTGATAGAATGTGTTGTCAGGATCAGTGAAGAGGTGTGATTACAGGCTGCAGGGTGTCACTACAGGCTATAGTAGTGACATTACAGATGTTGGGGTGTTAGTATAAATAATAGGGAATGTTACAGGTAATGGATGGATGGGGTGGAGTGAAGGTAGTAGAATCAGTATGGGTGTATGGGGGGACAGTGAGGTGATGAGGGGACCAATGGATAATAAGGGTATGATTGTATGATGAGGGTAGGCTAGTACACAGGTGGGATGATGAAGGTTGCAGTGGAGCATACATGGGTGGAAGTGTCAGGTGTAATGAGCTGGCCAGACACTAGTAGAATTGTGTTTGAAAAACTTAAAAACAATTGTTTTCGGATCATTTGTTCGATTTTCTAGCAGGCATTGGGGTGTCAGTGTACAGTGAGGGGTGTCATTAAAGGCAGTGGGGTGTCAATGTACAGTGAGGGGTGTCATTAACCACTTCCCGTCCGCCGATCGTTGAAAGACGGCCGGACGGGAGTCTCCTTGATGCGGGTGGGCGTCTTTAGACGTCATTCGTGCCCGCGCCTGCCAGGATTTTAAACGGCCAGCGATGGCCATTTACATACAAGCGGGCCGGCGTCTGTAAAGACACCGGATCGCTTGTATGATTCAAGTGAGGGTGCGCCGTCCCCCCTTCTCCTTACCTTTGGTCGCCGTTCCCGCCGCCGCCGTCCCCGCAATCTTGGGCGTCCATCTGTCCCGGGCGATGTGGCTCTGTTCACTGAGAACGTAGGGAGTTCAGTCCACGATCTCCCTCCACTCTCCTCCCCGCGCTCTGAATGCAGGAAGTGATGTAAATTACATCACTTCCGCATTCCTCTGTCACTCTCCGGTACAGAAACCGGAGAAAAGCTGATGAAGCAGATCTGTACTTCATCAGCTTCTCTGGGGGTCCCCTAGGTGACATTCGGGGTCTTAGAGACCCCTGATGTCTCCATAAAGGGGACCTGTAACTGTAATTTGTTACCACATAGGAGCACCCTATGTGATAACAATAAAGTTAAGTGTAAAAA